CTTTCAAGAATCGAAAAAATATATTCGACCCATAACCTCTATTTTCAAGCAAGTTACAGATATAAAACTTAAATTTCTAGTACTGGACTAATTACCCACTCCGACAAATATCTTTCGAGCATCAATCAGGAATTAGAAATAGGAATTAAGTTTGCAACCTTAACCCATAAATTAACTCCATGCTTATTAGAAAAAATTCATGTCTGAACAGCAGCAAAAAAGAGCATTGCACAATACTCACTACTTTAAATAAATACAAAACCTCACAATTGCACCCCTAGGTCTTGGAGTTTTAGGCACCATCATAAAAAGTTAAAAAATATACCATTAAACAAAGCAGACATGGGTAACATGAATTTAGTAATTACAAGTAAACTAACTTTAAATTCAACTTCAGGTTGTCAGTTTCAAGCACAAAGTTGTAAACCCCCAAAAGGTAAATAGTGTACTTAACTAAAGTAAAGTGTTCTCTCTCTAAACTCTATTTCAAAACTAATTTTTTCAGACAAACTATGATGATCCCTTCTTTTCTTTCTCTTGAGCTATTTATAATTTTCTAAAATTAGCCCCAAAAACCCAATACATGACTCAATCAGCGACATTAGTCGAGCTTGCCGAGCTAGTTTGGTGAATTACCTCTTACTCCTCAGCTCGTGTTTTCATGCTCTAGGCTTAAGGTGTTTGAACCTCATTAGGCGAACTCGATTAAGTTAGCCTTTGACGTTAGACAAATGTCCGAGAACAACCTTGGTTCGTCTACCGAGAAATCACTCTTTTCTTTTAACACTTTCATTTAGGTGATGTTTATTGCAAGGCCTCCTTTCTCATTCGGTCTATCGCCTTCTCTATTGGAGTCCGCGCACCTAATTCGATAGACATAAATGCCATGCACTATCATTTTGTGCAAGATCATGCTTAGTTGGTGATATTTCCTTCTTGTTAAGTGATCAACAATGTATGTTTTGTACTTCTTTTTGCATTTATGTCATTTCTTCAAACATCAATCCATGCCCTATAAATTTACCTTCGTAGCTACAAATCATCAATATTTTATCATAATAGGACAAAATTAGACATTGAGGATAGTAATTATTAAGCTAAACAAATCACAAATGGGAGCAAATCTACATGTCATCATTTCTCATCTTCACATGCCCAAACTATCTAAAAAAATATATATTGAAATTAATTATTTAGACAAAAGAAAGAAAGATATATACAGAATAAAGAAAGATAATATTATCAATAAAAGTTGCCCTTCATATTCGATCACTCATACTCTTCGATAAAATATTTTTGTCATTTTTATTTCTACTATTCAACTTTAATTTCCACTTCAAATACTGATGGAATCCCTATGTCTTTGCAAAACAAAATAATAAAAGACTGATTGCATGAAATCTCTCTTTGAAAAATAATATTTTTTTCTTATAGTTTTTGTTCATTTTTGTAAAATAGAAAGAGAAAATGGTCTAAAATCCCCCTAATCTATACCCGAAATCCCAACTACACACTCCAACTTCAATGGTGTCCTATTACCCCCCAGAACTTTAAATTTCTCTATTTTCTACACGCTTAAGTACTGACCTGTCATATGAAGTGTTCTCACCTCCTCTAGGCGTGCTAGAAGGTGAATTTTGATGAAAACTTCCTCTTTCTCCAACAATCATCTTCCCCGCCCTTAAATAAACCATTGTTTCTTCTTCCCCACCATTAACTCTTGTTCCTTTTGTAAAACAAATCACAATTTTCTCTAAAAAATAATTAGGGTTTAGTTGTTTATGTTCATTTCTACTTCATATCTTGAATTTAGGGTTTGTAATCTTCTCTAATTTCTTATTTAGGTCTCTAATTTGAATTTTGAATTTTCTCAAAATTCATCAAAAATGGCAAATGAAAACTTGAATAAGCTAAATCAGTTGGTAAACTACGAAATCAAGTTGAAAATACACAACAAAATCCTTCGATCATGAACAGAAATGCATATGCAAATGGAGAAGGAGATGAAAAGGACAAAGGATTATTTTTGGGTCTTATACGTTTTAGGAGGGAAATGGGGAAAAAAGGGAATTGGGAGTTGAAAAGGTGGGGGACCCGGCGCGTGCAATCACGTTGGACTATTTGTTTGGTTTATGTGTTAAGGTCAACGTTTAAGCGTAATAGAGAAATATGAAGTTCAGGGGGGTAATAGGACACCCGTGAAGTTAGAGTGTGTAGTTGGGATTCCGGGTATAGGTTGGGGGGAGGGGGGGGGGGCCTTAGACTATTTTCTCAAAAAGAAATAACTAATACTCGTTAGATTTCTTTAACTCCGTCAATCAGTAAAAGATTACTTACATCTTAGAAAAAGGGATGGACCGGGTTGGATTTTCTTCAATTTTCTGTATCGATTCACTTTTAAGTTTTAATTCTCTTGGATTTCCCTCTATTTTTAGTCGTAGTATCTACTAAGTAAAAATTCAATCTAGTGCCTAATTAAGTTTAGGTGTTTAATTTATAAATTGTTGCAAGTTTGAGGGGCTATCTGGTATTTAATTAAAATTATTTGTATGGTAAACACACCTACTAAAATAGTTAGTCATTTCTCTGTTAAATTAAACCTTTTATATACCAAATTAGGTTTTTGTATCTCCTGATGGTTTTGTCAGAAGAGGCTAATTCTCAAATCATTGAAGAAATAATATAATTAATGCTATGACAACTCCTTTTTGTGGCTTGATTGAAGAAATCTGTGTGATGTTTGTACATCATGGCACAAAGTTTGATACTAAGATGACTGATTTACTGGAGTCCAATGAATATAAAGGTAACATCTCTTAGCAACCTATAGAAAACTCATAAATTTTGTTTATTTATATGACTAAATTTTATATGATTTTACTTTTGTTGATGATTTAATTGATATGATGTTTATATCTCATCTGTGATTTTAGCATCGTTCCCATTTTAGATTTTGTTTATCTTGTAAATCTAGGATCTCTTTTCCTTGTTGTCTTAACACTAATTCTATGTTTGTTTATGTTGTTTTACTTGTTAAGAATGAGTTTTGTATTGTTATAAAGAAACAATTTAGATTCTGCATTTTTTCTTCTTTCTATAAGCATGTTACACACTCGTCTAATTTCTTCCACAAAGATTATGATTTTTAAAGGGGGAAGGGTGAGAAATAGTATTAAGTTAATTTTACTTATTTAATCAACTTACATATGTGTTTCACTTGGTCTTTTTGTACAAAAAATAAGAAAATCGTTCTTTGTCAATTGACCTAGAGTGTAATAGAGTTGTACGAAAAGATGAATAAAATCCCTCAAAAATTCTTTTTAGGTGTAGATCTTTTAATTTTTACAGATCTATCTCTAATCGTAAAAAAAATAGATTCACTTTAGTTATGCAGGCACAAGATTAGGGTGATGGGAGGGGAGATAAAAAGGAAGAGAGGGCATGATAAGAGTTGATGTGTCTATCCTTATTTTTTACCTTTCTATTGTTTTTTTTTTCCTCTCCCCCCCCCCCCCCCATTTCGTATTTGAACAAATTCTTTTGCTTTTTAAAATAAGTTTTTAAATGTTTTAAATACATGCCTCTTATTTCATCCTTTTAAGTACGTGCACCTTATATTTTAAAATAGTTTTTTCCTTAATTTGAAATTAACAAATTTAAATATAATTTAATGGCTATGTTTCACATATTATTTTTCATTTTGGCTCAACCCTAACTACAGTTTGATTACTACCTCTACGTAAATTTGGTAAGACAATAGACCATTTTCATAATTTTTTTAAAAATTCGATAAATTCTACAATTATCTTACTATACTCGAAAACTATCTTAGAACGATGGAACTATTGAACTATTTTACCTTGCAAAAACAAGTATATAACTGACAATTTTAGTAGCCAAACCCCACAATTTTTGTTTTTTTTTTGGAAAAAATAAAGTTAAGTTCAAGTGTGTTATTATGGATTTTTTCTGTATTTTTTTGTTTTGTCTCTCAATTATTTTATTAGTATTGATTGATTCTTCCACGTCCAAGGTGTATTAAATCATTTTTACTTGAATATCTTTGCAAGCTACTTTTGTAGGTACCGATAGTATACATACATAAAGCGAGTAACTTTGTAGTACAAACAAAAGTAACTAAACAACAATCAAAATGATAGAATAAAGAATATTTTTGAAAATTCATTTTCCACTTTTAGAAATATCTAAAACACAAAGTCAATGCCTAAATTATGGGTTAGAGTTTCATGTTAGATACTTGGTGTAGAAGTATACCCTCACTCACTATATGTAATACCTTTTTCTAGAAGAGTATTTTGTTAATTTGCAGCTCATTATTCTATAATAGTTTAAGACTCTTTTGTTAGCTTATTTCTTTTAACTCTTTGTAGTTTAATTACCATACATAAATACGATTCTCAATAAATAAGAAAAATAATATGATCATATATGAGAAAAGTAATAACATGTGATTTTTATAGATTGCTTTCAATTAATATCTTCAAATAAATCGGATTAATTATCCTATTGATGTCAACAATAAAAGGTCATTTTTGTTAGTTACATATTCATGAAATAAAATTATCTCTTAACCCCTATCCTATTATATCTTGCCTCGATAGTATTTTATCTATTTAGTGATTATTTATTTTTGACAAGTCATTAGATAAATTAGAATAAATAGTAGTATCCTCCAATAGTATCTTTGATATTCCATATAATCAAATTATTTAACATAGAATAATATTATTTATAATTGTTTTATGTGAATCTGACCTATTATATGTTACACAACGATTACAATATAAGTTGATCGATAAATGCAATTGAATAGGGTAAAGTGAAGCAATATCACATGAAACTTCATAATTGAATTTCAAAGATAAATAAACAAATCCTCTTAATGATAGATATGTGTATATATCCTTTCCATGTTCATCATTGACTTCCAAAATGCATGGATATATCCAGTTACAACAGTTGATAGGATTCCAGTGGCAATGTCAATTCTCTCACAAGGAAAGGAAAAAGTTGATGTGGTGATAGTCAATGTCCATTCACCGGATTCTCTTAGTTTTAAACTCTTGAAACAAGCAGATGCCTTAGATATTGTCACTCTCTGTAAGTATTTGTTCTATCTTTCATCTTACTGTTATAGTGGATAAGGTCAGTCATTTTAATTAATACACTACAAATAAATAACTAGCAGTGAAGTTCATCATTAATGTGTTGTTAATTAGTCTGTAGCTAAGTGAATTTAATATAAGATATCATTAAATAAGATTAGCAATGAATTTTTGTTGTTCAACAACAAGAATTATTCATTGCAAAATAATAGTTTTTGTAAAATAAATAGTTATTTTGCTACATTACTGTTACAATATATAAATTCAGTTTATATAAATGAAAATAACTAATCACATACTTTTTAGATGGATATCTTATATGATTTTATTGTTTGGTGGTTAAAGTTATTTATTTTAGTAAATACACTACGAGAAAATATTAACCATGAAATTCATCGCTAAATAGTACAAACATACCTAAAATAACTTTTGATAGACAATCATTAAATGCAATAAGTGAAGATTTTTGTTGTTTAAAAACAGAAGTTATACAATCCTAATCGTTCCTTTTTTATATAGTGATATGATATATAGTTCTATTATCACAATATTACTGTTACAATATATAAAGTTTGCAATAAATTAACTATTCACATGATGTATAATATAATTTAATTCTTATTATGAACTTATCAAAATAATTCTACAGTTGTATGTGATGAACACGATGAACTCTTTGCAAAGAAGGCTTTTGACAATGGAACATACTTGTATATGGAAAAGTCACTTGACGAAAATATTATGAAATACTTGTGGCAATTTGTATTAAGGAAGAAAATACAAAGAGACAAAGTGAGAGAAGGACTTGATCCAAAAGGAGATCACATGAAATATGTTTATAATATTGGTAATGAAAATATTGTGGGAAACAAAGGACACGTTGGAGAGAAGATTAGGTCTATTAATAATGAGGAACAAACTATTAGTATCCATGAGACTGAAAGAGGAACATATAAATTGAGGAGCAAGAGATGCAGAAAAGGCAAAAAAGTGATTGACAATGGAGAAAGACAAAGTACGTGTATTGATAAGACTCTGAAACGAAATGACTACATAGAATGGACTGTGGATCTCCGTGAAAAATTCAAGGAAGCTACGGAACGACTTGGTGATGGACGTAAGTTTACCTTGTTATTAATTAAATTTCTCTACAATTAGTTTCTATATATGTAGTGAAATGAATATTGAGATTCATACTTATAGCTAACGTACATTAATTTTTTTTGTAGTTAATGTATAGTGATTATTTTATTTACATGTATCTCATATTGATTTAGGAATATTGTTATAGTGATTAAATTAAAGGTACATTCTAATGGATCATGTAGGTTGCTTACCAAAAAAGATACTTGAGATAATGAATGTGCCAGGTCTTACCAGGATGCAAGTTGCCAATTATCTTCAGGTACATTCTTAAAAAAATTAAAGGATCTTCACACGAATAGCTGAACAAATTTATTGTTTCATTTTTTTTTAAACGGTATATCTTAATTATAAATGGATTATATTTAATCGTACACACTTCACATGAATATGTATGTGTGTGTGTTTTTGTTAAGGGGTATTTGTTTAATTTTTTTATCAAATTATTTTATTGTACTATTGGTTACTAGAAAATATTTTGCCTGGGATGATATTTCATCAACACTTGTGAGATCAATTTACTACAATTATCTAGATACTAATGTTATATCAAAAAAACCATTTAGCTACCTCCCGAGATAATGTTAAGGTCTGCTTACACTGTACATTCCCCAGACCCCCTTGATTAGAGTTCATTGATTATATTGTTGGTGTATCACAAATCATTTATTGGGATAAAATTTAATTTTGCATCACTTCTGCGTGTAAATGTTGGAAATTATATCATCTTTAGTATTCAAATGTTTTATCAGACCACTCGCTAATATATGAGGACTATAAATTACTTCCATTACATGTTTAGAACACTCTTATTCGATGCTAATTTAAACTATTTTTCGTAGCGACTATTCATTGAAAAAATATTCTCATCAAATTTAACTGAAAATAATTTTTTCATTTAGTTTTATCCAATACAATTTTTTTACTATTAAAAAAGACTTATTTCAAGAATTTCAAACATACCTTAAAAATGAGTTACGATGATAAATAATTTCATAGTCCAATTTTTCTTTGATTATTCTCCTTTCAGAGATGTCGTATCAACCAAAGGAGACCTTTAGAAGAGCAAACATATATTCAACAGGGATCTTCAAGTGGTTCCCAACAAAGAATTGAAACAAATAGCCATAAAATATTTGGGAGAATACATGATCTTCAAACAAATGTACCAAATCAAATTCATGGAGACCCGGAGTTCTCACCAGTTAATACCAACAATATTTATGCTAGTTCAACTGAGCAACAACTCTGTCATCCACAACTTCATGTTCAACAACACCATCTCAGTCCATTTTTGTCGGGCCAAAATAATGATGGTGGTAGGCTGCAACAACAACATGACCTGTTATTGGGTTCGCAAGGCCCAATTATTGAGAGCACTAACAATAATTTTTACATGGCATCCAATAGTGGGGATAATCATGATTACAACTTGAATCGTGAAGCTCAAAATGATTACAGCTCAGGTCTCAATCAAGTCTATGTAACAACAAATTCAACTAGTGCAATGATGACTGATATGAATGGTGGGAATGCGATAATCAATGGATCAGGAGTAGCAAATACTAATTTTCAGCAATACATCGGTGAACAAAACAAGTTTGTGCCAAGCAATGTTGTTGCAACATCAAATACAAGTGCTAATGACATAAGCGATTTAAATGAGTGGGAAAATTGTGACGCGTATTTGAATTTCCATAATATGGATGATCTCTATCAGGATATTGGAGCTTCAAGTTCGATCCTACCTAATGAACATGGAAGTGAGTATGATCAAGTTTACTCTTTTGATCAGGTTTGTACTTCTATCAGACTTTGCTTACTCCTCTTTACCTATTCTATATAGAAAGTAATTTTCTACATATGCAGGTGGCAGGGACACCAAGTGTCAAGTTTCAAGGAATAGATAAAATTCCAAAGTGAATCATCAACATGATAAGCCAATGCTATAAGCAACAACTCGAACTCATCATAAGGACTTTCTATAGTGAAAGTTTTTTTCTCAAGTGGTTGCAATCTTTAATTTTTAATTTTCTGGGGACTATTTTTTTATATGACTTGGATTTCCAGAACTTATGGAAAGTGAAAGGAATGTTTTCTTCAAAATAAGAGATTGTATTTTTAATACTCATTCGAATTTGAGAATGTCTCTCTACCTTTCAACTTCAAGCTCTTGAAGAGTCTTCCTTGCGCCAATATTGTCTAACTTAGCTTTCTACTTATCCTTTTATGTCTTCCTCATCTGCATTTCTATCACAGTTACTTTTTATGTCATCTCTTATATTGATTTCTATGGAATAAGAGACCATAATTTATATTTTGCTTTAAATGTCTTAAGTAAAAAATCTAACTTTAGCCCCTTTATGGAGCTTTATAATATTTTTTTGAGGAAAAACGCCATTTGTGTAGTAATTATGAAAAATTAATAATTTGAAAGTGGAATATTTGTAAGAAATGTAAAAGGCCTTACACAAGCAATAAAAAATGTTATTCATAAGAAACATCTCTAATCTACCTCAGAATATCAAAATGGACAATAATCCTAGCTCTAAGCTTTCCCTTCCTCATGAATCTCATCACACCCTTTATGGCGACAATCACAAAAATACCTGATCACCCACCGTGATCTCCAGGGTCTAAACTCTCTAATCTGAATAGCTCTTGTGCCGACTCTAGGTTATACAAAGTCACTTCTAGATCATACAAACATTATCCATCGAATCACACAAAAAATCAGTGCCCCACATCCTATCCTTGAAGGCATTACAACTACCCTGTTAGAGAACGACAACTCCTACCATACAATGCGTCAAATTGAGCCATTAGAATAATCGAATGGTAGCTATTATAATAATCAATTTCCTTTAGAGAAAAAACTGGTCCTACTAACCTCCAAAAGTAATAACACATTTCTGAAGCATGTTCTCTAAGACCCGAATAATCCTTTCAGACAGGTTGTCACTCTAAGAATGAAAAGCCATACTGAACTCAACTTGGGTACCCAACTTCTCCAAATAGACCTCCAAAATTATTAGCATAACAGAGTACCGTGATGTGAAATGATAGACACCAACACCCTATGTAAACATACAATCTCCTTAATGTAAATTCGAGCCAATCTCTCTAAATTGTAGGTCGTCTGAACCAGTAGAAAATGAGTTAATCGATCCACGATCAACCAATTAAAATCAAAACTCCAAAAAGTACATGGAAAGCCTACAAAAACGTCCATATCTATGTGCTCCCATTTCTACTCTGGAATGGATAGTTGTTGGGTCAAACCACTTGACCCCTAGTGCATGTACTTCACCAGATGAAAGTTTAAGCACTTAGCCACAAATGTTGAAATGTTCCTCTCCATCCCACATCAAAAGTAATGCTTCTTGAGATCACAGGACATATTCTTATAACTGGGATGGATATAATATTTAGATAAATAGACCTCCTCAGAGATCAGCCTGGTCAAATTTCCAACTCTAGGAACACAAATATGACCCTCAATCATGAAAATACCCTAAAGATTTTAGGTATCTTTCCTAGACTTGTTGCTAAGAATCCTATCATAGTTATGCGCTCTTAATTTCACTATGGAATGGGTACCTGCTGGGTAAAACCACCTACACTGTGACTGTTTAAGCACCTACCCACAAATATTGAAATATCCATCTTCATCCCATACCACAAGTAGTGGTTCCTCAGATCACGGTATATCGTCTTAGCACCAGGATGAATATAATATTTAGAAACACTAGAGTCCTTAGAGATCAACCTGACCAAATTTCCAACTCTAGGAACACATATATGACCCTCAATCTTGAAAATACCCTCAGATTTTAGGTCTCTTTCCTTGCCTTGTTTCTAAGTATCCTATCTCGAAGAACCCTCAAACTCAAGTCCTCAATTTGTTGTGCCCGTATCTACTTCATCATAGAAGATCTACCCTCTACACAAGCAAGCATTGTTTCGAGCTTAGAAATATCAAGTTGAATCATCCGGTTTGCTAATGACCTGATGTGTAAAGACAAAAGTCATTCCTATATAGATAAGAAAGCTAAAATCCCTATACTCGCTACCTTGCAGCTCAAGACATATGCTACCATAATAGCCTTGCTAGGGTGATAAATAATCAAAATAGCATAGTCATTCTGCAACTCCAGCCCCCTATGTTATCCAAGATTAAGGTCACTCTAACTAAAAATGTACTAAAGCCAAAAGTGATCTCTTAATACCTCATAGTAAGTTCCATACTAGTAGTGCCTTCAAATCTTCAACATGAAGGCTACTACTGCAAACTTCAAGTCACGAGTTGGGTAATTCTTCTCGTGATATTTCAGTTCTCTCGAACCATATGCAATCACCCTACCTTGTTTCATCAACACAAAAGCTAGGGAAACATACGAAGCATCACAGTAAACTGTAAACCCATAACTTTTAATTGGAAGAATCAGAATTGGCATTGAAGTTAACAGGGCCTTTAGTTTCAGAAATCTTGTCTCACACTCATCAGCCCACTGAAATGGACATTCTTATAAGTGAACCTAGTCAAAGATGCAACAATAAAATAAAATTACTCCAAAAACCGTTTGTTGTAGCCCGATAATCTGATGAAACTAAAATAATTTATTAGGGGAAGTAGGCCAAAGATCAACTATGAATTGCCTCATTAATCGACAGATCGACCATAATCCAATACTTTGACACAACGTGCCCCATGAATGCTACAAACTCATTCAAAAACTCATACTTAGTGAATTTGGCATAGTCCTGCTAATTTTGTAAGGTATGGAGTACAATCCTAGAATGATGGTCACGTTTCTACCTGTAACACCTTGTTATTTGAAACAGTTAAATTTAGAAAGAACTAATTTGGAAAGAGTCAATTCTGAAATTTTACAAGTTATTCTTAAGTTGTAAATTTTTGGGTCAAATTCAAATGACCATAACATTCAGTACAAGACGAGTACAGGACGAGTAAGGTGGACCGTAAGATATCAAATGAAAGGTCTTTGAATCAATACCACCAAGTTTGCTAAATTTCATGCTCATATGAAGGAGATATGCCCGTTTAATGTTAGCATGTGCAGTTAAGGGAAGTTACCCGGATTAGTTAGGGGTATTTTGGTCTTTTCATTACCCCGTCAGATTAAAACAAATTTAGTAAATATCTTTGGATCAAATCTGATTTCGGTCAATTTTACAATCCTAATAAATGCTTAGGGTTTTGAGAAGAGTCCAAGAAGAAGAAAAGTGAACAAAAGGAAGAACGATCAAGGTTTCTTGCGTATCGAGGTTTTGTTTCGCCATGTTTTCATAGTGTTGGGTTCATCCACCCACACGCCAATCATAATCTACATATTCAAATTCCTCCAAAAAGATTCATGAATTTAAGAAGTATTGCTTTCGTTCTTGAATTAAGATAGGTTTGATGCCTGTTTTTTAGTAGAATCTCGTGTACTTGTATTGGGTAAATGAATCTAAGGAAAACTTGAGAAAAGAAATCGATTCTAGATGAATTAGGGTACGAAAATGAGTGAAATAATTCGTCGCGAAGTTCTGGGGAGAGACTAGGGAGACGCGCCCCTGATGTACCAGAAGGTCTGAGGTGACACGCCTTCGATGCGCCAGTAGGTCTTGGGCGGCGCGCCAGTTGTGCGCCAGAAGGTCTTGGTCGGCGCGCCAGTTATGCGCCAGAAACCAGTCTCTGAAGTTTAGGGGTTGGTGCCCCGCTCCAGGGTTGCCTACCCCCACCATTTTCCCATCGTTTTCTTAGTCTAAGTCCTATTAAAGTGTACCTTTACTACCTATAGATTTTTCCTACTCTAAGTTACATCTGAACATCAAGAGATCATTCATAATATGAATCACCAACCATGAATTAATAATTCAAATTCAAGGTAGAGTTAAGAGTTAAGTCTTCAGAGTTCTTTCGAGTCATTTGGAGATGTGTTCTACAATCTTTTAAAATTATTTTAAGCCTTGAGTACTTGAGTTAAGAAAAAGTAAACTTGAGCTTCATTTTTGAATGGAAACTAAGTATTCCCAAGAGAAATGTTTTTACGTTTAAGAAAAGAGGAAATACCGATTTTCGAAAAGAGTTCATGAAGAGTATTGAGTACTATCTATTTTAAGAGTAACCTTTTGAGTAATAATATCAAAGTTGAGGAAGAGGAAATTCTTTTCTAAAATATATGAGCTAGGTTATATTTTTGGAGTAGTATTGAGCACCGATATGGGGGAGAATTCTAACAACTCACAACCCCATAAACTATGTAGCCAACGTGGGTAGAAAGGGTCATACCTCCACGGAGAGTTGTTTGAGGTCGTCCTGCTAGGAGGAATGTTGATCCTCATGATCAAAGGGTCCCCAATGCAGCAGAAGTGCAACCCCAAGGAGAAGTCACTAATGATGAGTTCAGGAATGCTATTCGGCTGTTGAGTCACGTGATTACCAACCAAGCTCCGCAACATGGAGGGGTTTGACAGTGTAACATTCCAGATATTTGTAGCTAGAACAAAAACGAGAGGGTAAGAGTCAAGGAGGTGGGCAAGGGCCAAAGGGAGAGGACAAAAGCAGTCCACTCTCCCATAGAAACTACCCTAGTAACCACAACCACCACCACGGCTCGTGGTGTGGTCTGTGGCAGCCTAGGCAATGAGCTTCCCAAAAGTGCCTAAAATGGGCCCTCCTTCGCAAGCCACTTCACGGCTCTTGGTGAAGACCACGGCTCGTGGGAAGGCTCATGGAGGAGAGTTAGTGGTGTGAGGGTGGCAACCAAGTGGCCTAGACACTGCCTTAAGATCCACGAGAGGGACCACGACTCGTAGCTAGCTCCATGGCTCGTGGAGCCCTTCGTGGAGTTGTCTTGGGCGTGTGAACTTAAAGGACAAGATGCCTAGATACTGCCCCAACACCATGAGAGGGG